AATAAAGTAAGTTACTGATCAGCATAGATAGTTTAGTTCCATTTCAGTTGACTCCTGGTGTGGCGCTGTTGGATCAGCACTGAACTATGAATGACAAGGTCAGCAATTCAAACCCACCAGCTGATCTTTCAAAATCTATACAGGGTCACTATGAATGGGAATTGACTTGACGGGACGCACTTAACAACAACACAGCAACCATTTCAATAAAGAAATGAAAGGGGAGAGGGAAGAATGTTTATCAGTACTTATCTACCTGTGTGTGTGTATGTGTATGCATATTTGCTCACATATGAGTAGAGTAGCTTTGGAAGGACACACAAGGCTAGTTGCTTGCAGGAAGGAGACCAAGTACCTGAGAGTCAGGGCTTGCTGGGGGACAGAGGGAGCCTGACTTTGCACTATAGACATTCCTGCCATTTTATAACTATGTGTCTTTAAACAAGTCACTGGGCTTCTAAGAGCCTCAGTGTCTTCTTCAGAAAAATTGTAATAACTCTAAGAATTGGGATGTGGAAGGAGAGACTTTGGATGATAATAGGGATTCTGGTATGGTGCTGTTGGTTAGTGCACTGGACTGCAAAGTCAGTTTCAACCACAAGGTTGGCAGTTCAAGTTCACAAGTCACTCCTTGGAAACACTATACAGGGTCACTATCGGTCAGAAATTACTTGATGGCACTTAACAACAATAACAACAATGGAACTCAGGTAGCATAGTGGTTACGAGTCAGGTTGATAACCTCAAGTTCGTCACTTTGAAACTACCAGCTGTTGCATGGGAGAAAGATGAGGCTTTCTGTTCATGTAAAGATTTACAGCCTTGGAAATACAGGGTCACTATGAGTCGAAACCAACTCCATAGCACACCACCACCACCACCACCGTAAGTACCTTCGATTTTGTGTTCATTGAGCTGCCCTCGCTAAGACTAGAAGTCTTCCTCTATCTGATAAGAATGGTCTGGTCTTGCCAGGAGATAGGGGTCCTATCACTAAAGGAGTTACCTTGCACCTGCATGCCTGTTTCCGCATGTCTCACTCCCACTACCTTCATTACTTCCAGATCTGTAAGCAGATTGGCAAAGGACAGACCAACACATAGAAAGCAATTATTTGCTAAATTTTATCAGCAGAAAGTGGAAACTATATATGAGAATAAAAAGGCTAGATTAGATAAGGAGAAGCATCATTTTAAATTGTGCTGAAGTTATCAAAATGGATGCCTGATTAAAACAAACAAAACCCTTTATTCTTGAATAGCATGAGTAGAATGCACAGTAGGATTGACTTCGACATGTTGTTTGGTGCCATTGAATTAGTTTCAATTTGTAGCAACACTGCCGGATCCTGAAGGAGCTCTAGTAGTGTAGTGGTTACAAATCAGACTGTTAATCTCAAGGTCAGCAGTTCGAAACTACCAGCAGTTCCATGGGAGAAAGATGACACTTTCTGCTCCCATTAATATTTCAGTCTTGGAAACCCTGCGCAGGGTCACTATGAGTCGGAGCCAACTCCGCAGTACACCACAGCCACCGCCTGATCCTGAGCCATTCTATGTCTGAGCCATTCTATAACTGCTGTGTTTGAGTTCATTCTTGACACTGTGTCAATCGATCTCGTTTAGGGTCTTCCTCTTTTAGGCTGACCTTCCACTTTACCAAGCATGATATTCTTCTCCTGGGAGCGGTCCCTCCTGACAACATGGCCAAAGTATGAGATACTGAAGTCTGGTTATCCTGCTTATTAAGTACCATCGAATCAGTTCTGACTCAGAGCAACCTTTTATAAGATCATTGACCTTGCAGTTCAAACAGACCAAAGTGGTCTAATGCTTACCTACAGTGCCATGTCAGGACTCCATAGTGATTAGGAGTAGGGAAGAAATATCAGATCTGGAGTCTAGAGAGAATACTGCATGTTCCCAATGCTGACAACGTAATAATCCATAAGTCTGAGACTGAGAGTTTAAGGGATGGTGTATCAAGCAGTTGACTTGAAAGTAGTGGCATTTATAAGCCATATCACCTTTTTTTCTTTGCTCATCTGTTTGTGATTAGCTTTATAGTTCCATGTTAAGTTCTCTCTGCTCACATTGTATATTTTGTAGTCTTTCTCTTCACTCTCATGATTTAAATTAATATCCTTACATTATCACTTTCCAAGTTTGTATCTGCAGTTCTGAAACACACCTCTCCACCCTGAATATACACAAACATTCACACACACACATACACATTTATACTGAATTCAGGAGAAAATGTGTAAGTGTGATCAATTCAGCTGGTTGATTTGTGCTTTAGCATGATCACAATGCCTGAAGAATTAAAAGTGACCTGTGGTAAACAGAAACATCCAGATTGGAAAACTGATAGTATCCTCAACAGAATACACATGACTAGTGATGTCATGTACATAAGAGTAGTCCAGTCAATCCTAAAATACAGATTTTTGCCGTGGACAACTGGACATAAGAGGGTAATGTTCTTTGACATATGGAATATAGGAATAATAACTGATTGGGTGGGTGAGGGAAAGGAGATAAATTTGTTTTGGGATTTGTTGAGTTCTCTATTGCTGTTGTTGTTAAGTGCTGTCAAGTTGGCTCCAACCCATAGCGACCCTGTATAGGGTTTTCGAGGAGCAGCTGGTGAGCTTGAACCACTGACCTTGCAGTTCAATCTGCTTTGCAGTCTGGTGCATTAACCCACAGTGCTACACCAGGACAGTCAAATAATTTTACCAGTTAGGTGATGCATGTGTTTGTGTGTGTGCATATGTATTCAGGAAGTAGAGGTATGTATCAGGGATACAGATATAGATTTAGGAGAAAACGATGTAAAGATACTAATTGGTATCACAAGAGTGACTAGAAAGCCTAAGAAGAGTGCAATCTGAGCTCCACCCCTTGTCATATAGTCAATTCCACCTCATAGTGATCCTGTATAGGGTTTCCGAGGCTATAAATCTTTATGGGAGCAGAACGTCTCATCTTTCTCTGGTGAACTGCTGATGGATTTGAATTGTCAGCCTTTTAATTAGCAATCTAGTGCATATGTTACAACACCAACAGGGCTCTTCATTATCTGAGCAGAGAAAATTCTGCATGAAATTAAAAATGATAACTACTCTTAAAAGGCAGCAAAGAAAGGAGTAAACAAAGCAAGGGTTAGTCTTCATTTATAGAGATGTAGGAAAAAGAATATTTCTGAAATACAGGGCAATTAAATGGTTTGCTAGATGATGTAGGGTACTCTGAGGTAAGATAAACATTATGGATTTTTCTCCCAAATCCTAAATGCCCATAATTCAATCATTGAGTCCTTTTTCAAGAATATGGGGAAAACTTACTTCTCATCATTTTTTAAACCACTTTGACACATTCTTTGTTCCTTATCCATGGTTCTAACTATACTACCTTCTGCAATTATTGCTTATACAGTCTTGAAGTATCTTTATATCTTGCCACTACATTGCAGAAATGAAAAGAAAGTAGTTGAAAAAGAACTCTAATATTCTCTTAAGAAGTCAGATATAAAGGAATCTTTTGAATATTAAACTTCATAGAACTTCTATAATTATCTGGGCTCATAGAATTGTATAGTTGATATGTAAATGTGATTTGAACTTCACTACGCTGTATATTTTGAATCTCACTCAACTCACTCATTCACTCACTGCAGTCAAGACAATTTCAAGGCCTAGTGACCCTGTATGGAGTTTCCAAGGCTGTAACTCTTTACTGGAGCAGAAAACTTTATCTTTTCCTTGCAGAGCAGCTAGTGGGTTTGAGATGCCCAACTTTAGGTTAGCAATTTAATACTTATACTACAGTGCCACACCAGGAGTCCTATATTTTGAATGTTGTTGTTAAGTGTCGTTGTGTTGGTTCTGACTCATAGTGACCCTGTACAGGGCTTTCAAGGAGTGACTGGTGAGTTTAAACTACCGATTTTGTAGTTAGCAGTTCATTGCTCATCCTACAGTGCCACATCAGGACTCCATATTTTGAATGTTGTTGTTAAGTGCCATCTAGCATGCTCCAACTAATAGTTACCCTGTATAAGGTTTGTGAGGAGCAACTGGTGAGTTTGAACCACTGACATTGCAGTTTAAACTGACCTTTGCAGTCAAGTGTTCATCCTATAGTGCCGTACCTGGAGCTTCACCTATAAAACTGATAAATATGAACTGAAAAGGAGTATCATTATAGTGTAGACAAAAAGCTACTACCCTCAGCAGCAGGCTATTTGAATTGTGCTTTCTGACACAAATTTACTACACTTCCTCATGCATAGCCCATAACCTCCTTTGGCCAAAGTTTTGTGATCTGTAAAATGATTATTGCTAATGTCCCTGCAACTTTAAAAATTCTATTATTCTTCATTTATCTAAAGAAGCAATGCATAGTTTCTATTCAATAATCAGGGATAAACATTTCATCCCCATTGAGCAATTCAGATAATTTACCTTGAAATACTTGAATAAGTTTGAGTAGCCAAAACAATATTCTAAATTACATGAATGTGATTAAGTATAAAAATTAAAATGACTTTTATAAGTGGAATGCATATTTCCCATATGAGTCAGAACTGACTCCATGGCACATAACAAAATAAAATAATAGATTTTATTTTTTTAGAGCTTATAAAAAAATTGCACATAAAGCACAGTTTTTTTTTCTTTCTTTCTTTCAAGAGATAGCAGATCATAAAGACTTAAATTGTGTAAACATAGTTTACGTAGGGCAATAAATATTCATGTTTAGCTAGATATAGAAATGGTGCAATTGCTCAAGTTAAATATTTCCTAAAGACACTTCTCTGAACCAGTCCCTTAACTGCCTCGGAAGTAATTTGTTAGAGTTGTAGGTAGTACAAAAAAATAGTATCCAGATATAAGAGCAAATCTGGAACACAAAGAATTGTCAAAAGAAAAGGAATATTTTCAGGTATGGACTCACTTACTACAACTGCCTGACCTGAAATAAACATACTGGGTAATGCTGTTCAGGCTAACCAGAATGCTAGCATTTCCCATGAATGAAGTGTGCCACTCACTTTGGATTGCATGTGTTTTCACTTCTGTGCTGGTTCAGCAAGGATCAGAAGGTTTCCAATGTGACAATGGAATATCTGTGCCTCCTGACAATGTGTGTGACTTCATGGACCAATGTGGGGACAGCAGCGATGAACAGCAATGTGAGTGCCATTTCTCGGCTTTATCCAATTTCATTTCCGTGTATGTCTATTATCAAACCAGGAGCGTATGAGCAACTGTGAGAGTCCTCCAGATGCCTGGCCAAGAGTGGATTAGACACTCTCAAAGTATGAACTATTAATATGCGTTTATATTGGCGGTTCACACCAACTGCTCCTCAGAAACCCTATTCAGGGTTTCTATGAAGCAGAACTGACTCAATGTCACTTAATGACAAGATATGTTAATCAGAAACAAAACATACTTATTAATAAAAGATGGGTCCACATATAAAATTGCTCTGATCAAATTATGCCAAGTAACTAAGATTTAAACTGGACAGACTGAAACAAAATTCTTGTTACTTTGTGTTTAAAATAGATGATTTCTAGCTGTGGTGCCATAGGCTAAGCACTGGACCTGAGGGTTGGCATTTCAAACTCACCTGAGAGCGCTCCTTGGAAACCCTATACAGGGTCATTATGGATCATAACTAACTCAACAGTACTTAACAACTACAACAGCCATAGAGATGTAGCCCACAAATGTGACTTTTAATGTTATATTTGTTGTTATATTTCTGAGGAGTGACTGGTGGCTTTGAACTGCTGATCTTGCAGTTCTCAAACTGACTTTACAGACCAGTGCTTATCCTACAGCACCATGAATGTTGTATATTTTAGATAAAATATTCATCTGTGTTTCTACAATTCTTTACTTCCTTCTGTTAAATTAGATTTGATGTATTTGATTTTGCTATTGTTTGCTTCTCCTTTGCATATTCAGTTGGTATTACATTAAAACTAAAAGAAATAATTACTGAAATGTTTCTTCCCTGTAGAATGAAACAGGAAAATGACATTTCTCCCATAGTGTGGGATAGTTATTCTGTTAGGAGCCCTGGTGGTGCTGTGGATTAGGCAATGAACTGCTGACTTCATGATTGGCAATTCAAACCCATCAGCCATTCTGCAGATGAAAGGGGAGACTGTCTGTTGTCATACAGAAACCTGTATGGAGTTAGTATGAGTCAGCATCAACTCAATTGCACTGGGTTTAATCATGCTATTGGCACTTACCCAAAATATCCAAACCCACTGCAATTGATTCACTTCTGACTCACAGAGACCCTAGAGAATAGGTTAGAATTATCCGTTTGGATCTTACAGGAGTAGATAGTCTTATCTTTCTCCTGCAGAGCAGCTGGTATGTTCAAACTGATGACAGTATGGTTAGCAGTCCGAAGGGTAACCCAAGATACCACCAGCATTGCTTTGTTAACACTTAGTAACTGGTAGATACAAAGCTCGCCCCAGGACAAGTATTTGTCTGCCCAGTTTCCACAGAGAAAATAACAGTGGATATGCTACCCCTTGCTCTTGCCTCGCTAGAAAAGCCAGTTCCCCGGTATGCAGCAATGGCGAACCATTCCACTGGTTTGACAAAGAGTACAAAGTCCTTCCATTATTCATCTCTACAGAGCTTCCATTAGCACTCATGGTCCTGTCAGGGAAAAGGTTAATGTGAAAGAGGGAAAAGGCTGCCTAGTGGTAAAGGTCTTGGCGTATGACAAATTGTGACTTAGAGCCATGAAGGAACAGATCTGTCTAGTAAACAGATTTAGTTTTAAGTGTTACATTAGGAGATCACCTTTTTGCTTTTTTGCTTTTCGTGTTCATTTTAAAGAAGTTTCCACCTTGGTATAGTATTTAAAATGTGTGCGATAACCTACAGATAAAATGGAGAATCACTTTAAAGTATGAATTTCTTCTGTTTACCACTAGTCAGAAAGGAATAATGACGGCTCATCTCTTTCCCTCACAAAAAATTACCCTGCTAAAATTATGGAATGGTTTTTACAGTTAACTCATAATGATGCTAAAATAGTCACTAAATCTGCCCTTCTCCCCCTTTTGAAGTCCTAATGGTCTGAACTTTAAAGAAATAGATTACTATGTTGAGCTTTCTTAGTGACAGGGGCATAGCTGAAGTTGAATTTCTGATGCAACTAGTAAGTTTTGAGAATGTTCTTAATTTACATGATGACCTCCTTTTAAGAATATTTCAACATGTTCTTTGAACTGTTTTGTGGTTATTGTTGGTTTTGTTTGTAAACCCATTAGATTTAGAAAAGCTGAAACCTCAAAATGGAATGAATTCTAGTTATATACTATATTAAGTATATACATATTTACAAGTATATAAATATGTATTAAGTATATACATATTCTATATTTATATACTATATATATTAATATTATATTAATAGATTGCTGTTGTTGTTGTTAAGTGCCAATTCCTGACCCATAGTGATCCATTATAGGGTTCCCGAAGAGGAGTAGCTGATGAGCTTGAACCGCCGACTTTGCAGTTCAAACGGCTTTGCAGTCTGGCGCATTAACCCACAGCGCTATAGCGGGACTCCACTTAATAGATAAGAGCCTAGAAAAATAACTTGTAGGTGTAACACCACCACCATACATTCTCATGGAGTAGATTTCCCACTCATAGTGACCCTATGGGAAAAAATAGAATTTAAGGCGTCCATGACTATACATCTTAATGAGGCCAGGCAACCTTATCATTCTCCCACCAAATGGCTAGTGGGTTTGACCCATCCACCTTACAAGCAGTCCAATGCTTAACCCTCTGTGACAACAGGACTTCTTATCAACTGGGTCAAGTGTTGACAAAATTCACTCTTTATTCATTTTTACTACATTGTAGTCGAACCAAATGGGTCCACAGCCCAATACTCAGCTGAAAGTCAAGATGGCAGGACGACACCAGGTTTGAAAGAAAAGGAAAAAGTTGATTTGTAGAGGAGCGAGCGGCTATGCAAGAAATCTTGAGAAAAACTCAGATCTGACTCTTTATAATCTGCAAGATTACAGTTTTATAGAGTTGTTTTAGAACAAAAATGTTATACATATTCAAATAAAATTAGGGAATCTAGGGTGCTGTTTTGTGTGGCGCTGTAGGATTGGCGCTGGACTGCGAACCCCAAGGTCGGCATTTCAAACTCACGGGCTACTCCTTCGAAACCCTATGAGTCAAACGGACTCAGCAGCACTTAACAACAGCAGCAGTGATGTTGTGGGGAGACTGGTGGCTGTGTAGGATAAACACTGAACTTCGAACCCACCAGTCCTTTTTTTGGAAACCGTATGCAGGGTTGTTGAGTCAAAACCAGCATGGCACTTAACAACTACAACAACAACATGGTGCTGGAGAATAAGCACTGGACTGTTAACTGCAACGATGGCATTTCAAATAGCAAAACAGGGTAGTTATGAGTCGAAACGGCCTTTACAACACACAACAACAGCAATGCGTATTAATGTATAAGGTAAGAACCTGTTGTTGTTATTAAGTGCTGTCGAGTCGGTTCCGACCCATAGCAACCCTGTACAGGGTTTCCGAGGGTGTAAATCTTTACGGGAGTAGAAAGCCTCATCTTTCTCCTGCGGAGCTGCTGGTAGTTTCGAACTGCTGACCTTAAAGTTCGCAGCCCGATTCATAACCACTACGCTACCAGAGCTACCTAAGGCAGGAACCTAATGTATAGTAATTATTACTTTACATTGTGAATTTAGTGGGCACACATCTGTCATGCATCCCATAATCAGTGACCGATGCCTTAATTAGGGCGGTCAAAGGGGATTTTTCCCAGGGATATGGGTTAAATCTTAAGGTTATTTTAGCAACGGGGCGGGCGGGGTGGGTGTAAGCAGCTTTTACGCATGCCCGGTGGGACAGATCCTGCCTTAACCAGGGGCGGGCGGGGTGGGTGTAAGCAGCTTTTACGCATGCCCGGTGGGACAGATCCTGCATTAACCAGTCTCAGCCGTTCCTTGTCAGCTCTGTTGGATAATTTCTGAAAATCAGCCTTTTCAGAAAGTTAGCGTAGGGATTTAATAACTAAAAGAATTTTACTGAAATCTTCTTCAACATCCTTCTTACCCAGATATGGACCAGGTAATATACATTGCAGCACCAATTTATATATATTATTGTTAAGTGTGGTGAAATCAGTTTCGACCCATAGCGATGGTGTATGGGGTTTCGGAGGAGCGTTTTCTGCAACACTTAAAATATGATTTAAATATTAGCTGATTGATTAGTTGGTTACGTGTCATAGAGTCAGACTCATATAGCAACCCTGTGTGTGGTTTCCGAGGCTATAAATCTTTATGGGAGCAAAAAGCTTCTTCTTTCTCCCGCGGAACAGCTGGTAGCTTAGAACAGCTGACCTTGAGGTTAGCTGCCCAACTCGTAACCACTATGCTACCAGAGCTCCTCAAACATTAATTACATATACTAATTAATATTACTGTTGTTGAGTTTCATCGAGTAAGTTCTGAGTCATAGTGGCCTTGTAAATGGTTTCCGATGAGTGACTGGTGGGTTTGAACCACTGAACTTTGGATTGGTAATCCAGTGCTTATCCTACTGTACCATGTTGTTGTTAAGTGCTCGCCGTCGAGTCGATTCTAACCCTTAGCAACCCTACATACAGGTTTCCGAGGAGCAGCTGGTGAGCTTGAACCACCAACCCTGCAGTTCAAACGGCTTTACAGTCTGGCTCATTAACCCACAGCGCCACACCAGTACTATATGTATATATTTATTGTTGTTGTTTTTAAGTGCTGTCGTGTAGGTTCTGACTCATAGAAACCTGTAAAGGGTTTCTGAGGAGCTGCTGGTGAGCTTGAACCGCTGACTTTGTGGTTCAAACTCATATTGCAGTCCAGAACATTAACTCAGAGCGCCACACTAGGACTCTTTTAGTCTTATTTTATTGGTGGTGTTAAGTGCTGTCCGTCAGTCGTTTCTGACCCATAGCAACCCTGTATAGGGTTTCCAAGGAGCAGCTGGTGAGCTTGAACCACCGACATTGTGGTTCAAACAACTTTGCAGTCCAGCTCATTAGCCTATAGCACCACTCTAGGACTCCTTAGTCTTGTTGTTGTTGTTGTTACGAGACTTTGCAGTCTGACTC